GGGAATCCCTTCACACTTTGGGGTATGAGTATGGGCTGAGGACATCAAACCCAAAATTATTTCAAGCAAATATGTTCCCTAAGTCATGTGGCAGGTCAGATAAATACAAATATGGGACAGCTTTAGCTAGACTTGCCCTTGATCTATAACCAGAAAAGTTTACCTGAAGCTGAGTTCATGAGAGACATTAAGTATACAGAGACAATACACTAGGATCAACAATGAAAAGATACAATGAGTAGAAAACTTAGAAATCTGACAAAACAATTTCAAACAACGTTTTTAGATAATTAAAAAATTACTTAAATAAATGGAGATCAGGAAGACTGCAATTCAAGGATAACCATGGAAAAAAGCAAAACTCAACCAACAAGCTAGGCATGGTAGAACACATGCTGCACAACAGGCCTTAAATTTAAAGATCCTAGTCTTGAGGCTAGTTCTATGTAAAAACACAAGACCCTACCTGAAAAATAAAAAAGATGAGGGATCTGGTTCAAATGGGAGAATGCCAGCCAGACAACAAGCACTTGGCCCTAAGTTCAAATCCTAGTATATAAAAAAAATTATATTACACAGTGTTAGAATGCATTCCTGAAACAAATGAATTCCTCTATGATAAATGGGGTAAGTTTCGAATCCCTTTTTCCCTATCAAACATATAGAAACCATAGTAAGGCTTCCCAAGCTTTCAAGAAATCACCCATTTCACAGAGTTTTGTGCAACAAGTTCTTCAAGTGATCAAGCAGGATAAGTAGTCCCATATCTGGCAAATCTTTGAGGCTTGTCAGAGTACACTGAAGATAAACACAAATAATTCTCATTTTAGACAAGGTCACAACCCCAAAGCAATCATGACTGTTCTATTTCAACTCACTCAAGAATATCATCTCGATAGAGGATGGCAAAAAAGTTCAAGTAGTAGAGTTCCTGTTTAACCACAGTATAGATAGGTGTGTACACACATACACACACTAGCGCGCGCGCGCACACACACACACACACACACACACACACAAGGAACCATATCCCTGTGTCTGACATTTTTGTTTTTTAATAAAAGATTTATATGTTGATTATTGTGTGTGCTTTTTTTTTTTTTTGTCGGTCATGGGGCTTGAACTCTGGGCCTGGGTGCTGTCTCTGAGCTCTTCAGCTCAAAGCCAGCACTCTACCACTAGAGCTACAGTGCCACTTCTAATTTTCTGGTGATTAATTGGAGATAAGTGTCTCATGGGCTTTCCTTGCCCAGGCTGGCTTTGAACCACGATCCTCAGCTCTTAGCCTACTGAATAGCTAGGATTACAGGTATGAGCCACCAGAGCCCAGCTTATTGTGTGTTATTTATATGTCACAACCAATAATAAAAAGCAAATGGCTCCTAAAGATAACATGAAGTACTTCATCCTCAGGAAGGGACAATAGCTATTATCAAAATAAACACCAAGAACCTGATATCCAAAGCCAAGTAGAGTGGCACATTGCTGTAGTCTCAACTACTCAGGATGCTGAGGTAAGCAGATCACATGAGCTCAAGATTTTGAGAGTCATAGGATATGCCTCAAAAACAAAACAAAATAAAACAGGAAGCAACCTCCTCTCAATTTCCAAACCAAATTGCTATGATTTCTTAACTTCTCAAAGTAAAGAGTGAAGTGAAATGAAACTAGCTATTAAGCCTATTTAGTCACATTAACGTATGACTACTTTAGTAGATATAAAGACTAAAGGCATTTTCAATTTTCATTGTTAACTTCTGTATCAAAAACAAACATCTGTTGATAAATGGAAACCAGGCCTGCCTTGGTGGATTTAAAAATTATCAGGCTACAGAGGTGGTTGAGATTCATTTATTATTGGTTCTGAAGAATGTATGACACATAGGGAAATTACAGACCTACTATTTCCTTGTCACATTGAAAAAGAACATGGCCCTAGAAAAATGTCTACTTTTTCTGATATCACCAACCTCCTCCCACATCATAGCAGTCATGAAGAACACTTTGCCTTTGATTAAGAAATCTTTTAATCAAAGATTTTTACTAATTCCAAGAATACTAACACTGCAAACAAATGTGCAATGGCATGAACACTATTTAATCCAAAGTCATTCTGTGTCTGTCCAATCCTGGGCTCTGTCATATGACATCAAAAGCCATCTAAGATCCAAAGTGCTTAAAGGAGAATGAATGCAAAAGCTCAGTGAAAATATAATTTCAGTGCAGGGTATTGGTTTCCACATTATGTAAAAAGTCAAACAAATTACTGTGCTCCAACATACAGTTTTGGGACAACATTCAACAGACCCAAACCAAGATGGTCTTTACAAAGGAAGACTGACAAACTCCAGGGGTAAAGATTTTTAAAACAGCACTAGCAAGATAAATACTGAAGGAAGCCAGTTTAGTGAGAAAACAGGTGATTGACCAGAAGTTTCTCCATACTAACTGCCTTGAATCATTTATTGATTCACTCTTTTTGTTCTTTTTCTTTTTTTGGTCGGTTGTGGGGCTTGAACTCAGGGCCTGGTACTGTCCTGAATCTCTTTGTGTTTAGGGTTAGCACTCTACCACTTGAGCCACAGCACCACTTCTGGTTTTTGAGTGATTAGTTGAAGATAAGAGTCTCATGGGGATTTTTCTTTCCAGGTTGGCTGGCTTCAAACCCCAATCCTCAGATCTCAGCCTCCTAAGTAGCTACAATTACAGGTGTGAGCCATGGGAGCCCAGCCCAATCTACTTTGCAAGTTGAATATTGTATAGTTCAAAGTATCAGATGCTTGTGTGGCATAAGTACTGAGCTGAGTAAGAAAGACACATCATAAAAATAGGGACCAACTTTTTGGCTTGTCAAGATCCCTATTGATTACACAAATAAAAAGGAACACCAAGATGTGGGTTACTAAAACTGGAGCCTATCTCAGATCGATGATGGGGAGGCACACTGAACTGGCCCCTAGTGTGCATGAGTTAAGGAGCCTACCCAGGTGGGCACACAGAAAATTACACAGCAGAGAACAATGTTGTAGAAGATAGCTACTGACTCTAGAAATTAGTGGATAACCTCAGATAACTTGTAGTGTGTATATACGTACGTACATACGTACGTGTGTGTGTGAGTGTGTGTGTGTTTTGTCCTGGGGCTTGAACTCTGGGCCTGAGTGCTGTCCCTGAGTTCTTCAGTTCAAGGCAAACACTCTACTACTTGTGCAACAGCATCACTTCTGGTTTTCTGGTAGTTAATTGGAAATATGAGTCTCATGGACTTCCCTGCCCCAGCTGGCTTTGAATCGCAATCCTCAGATCTCAGCCTTCTGAGTAGCTAGGATTATGAGCCACCGGCACCTAGCTAATATCAAAATTTTTATTAAAATTTCCTAAAACTTAAAACCCTGTATGATGCTACATGAACACACTATTTGAATGGGGAAGAATACAAAACTCTGGCCAGATGGAGTGACTTGCATCATAGCTACTGAGGAAGTAGAAATCTGGAAGATCATAGTTCCAGACTGGCTAGCCAGGGTAAAAAGCATGCAAAATCCCATCTCAACTAATTAAAAGCTAGGTATGGTGGCATATTTTTCATTTAACTTATGTGAGAAGTAGGAGGATGGATCACAATCCAAGCAAAGCATAAAAAGGAGTCTTGTCATATGCCAATGACTTACACCTCTAATCCTACCTACTCAGGAGGCTGAGATCCAAAGGTCAAAGTTCAAGGCAACTATTAACTAACAAAAATCAGAAGTGGAGGTGTGGCCCAAGTGGTAGAACACCAGCCTTTAGGGAAAAAGCCCTGGTATTGGATGTGGGGGGGGGGGCGGGGGCGCAGCACATGAAGCTTAGATTTGAGGATCATAGTTTGAAGCCAACAGGACCAGAAAGTCCCAATTAACCACCAAAAATTTGGAAGTGGAGCTGTGGCTTAAGTGGCTATCTTTGAGCAAAAAAAGCTCAGAAAGCTCAGGAATAGCATTCAGGCCCTAAATTAAATCCCCAGGACCAGGGGTGAGGGGAGAGGGAAGGAGGGGGGACACCTATTCAAAATTTGTGTGTGTGTGTGTGCGTGCGTGCATGCGTGTGTGTGTGTGTGTGTGTGTGTGTGTGTTTCGGTTCTAGGGCCTGAACTCTGTTCCTGGGTGCTGTCCCTCAGCTCTTCAGCTCAAGGTTAGCAATCTACCACTTGAGCCACAGCACCATGTCTGGCTTTTTCTTCTTATGAGGTACTGAGGAATTGAACCCAGGACCTCATCCATGCAAGACAAGCACTCTATCACTGAACCACCTTCCCAGGCCCTATTCAAAAATTTTAATTAAAGCAAATGGAAGAGTGCTGGTCTAGCAAGCACATGCCACTGAGCTCAAAGCCAATACCACCAAAAGTGTCACAAACACCCATCCCCCCCCAAAAAAAAAACAAAACTGTAAAACTTTCAATTGACTACCTAACAAAGAAAATAAAGCTTTTGAAAGTGAATTTCTTATCTGCAATTTTATGAGAGCACTTTTATATAAGTCAAAAGAAGCTATAAACTTTTGACATTCTGGTTGCTATTTTCTCAAAACTAAGATTAAAATAGAGGTATTACATAGAGGAATTCCTTGAAATTACAAATTTATTGCTTGGGTTTTACAATTCTAAGGATTCAAGACCATGCTTATTTTGATTCTAACCCAAAGCAACAAAAGCAACCACTAAGGATGAAGTATGAACAAAAACAAAAGAACAACCCAGTATGTAGAGACATATACCTTGGAGGCATTTAATATATTTGGAAATTCTCATTTGCATTTTTAGACAATGGAGTTACTCTTTTGCAGGCTGTACTAAAACACAAACACACCACTGAAGAAATCAGACTAGGAATTTCAGCATTCATTTGATGGTTCTGGAAGTCAAGGAAAGTAGCAAATTAAAAACAAAAACAAAAACTCAAAAAATGGCCTCTTCTTCCATGTTCAGCAAGCATAAGATTATAAATTGCAGAACAGCTTACCTGGGACAGGGCTCTTTCTTGAATTCAAATTCAGAGAATCCACAATCTCTTCTGTTTGCCCATCTGCTTCTACCTCTAATTTGCTTGGAATCTCTTTTGTATCTTCACCAAGGCAAGTTCTTATGCTCTCCTCCTCCTCTTCTTCTTCCTCTTCTTCTAAGATTCTCTGGACTGCAGTGGGGGTACCTGAAGCAGCACCAGTTGTGGCGGCAGCAGAAACAAGGACTGCAGTGGGAGGAGAAGCTGGAGGAGTTGGAGGAGCTGGAGAAAAGGAAGCAACTATAGGAGGGGTGATGGCAGCAGTGATACACTCCATTTTCATTTCTTCTGGGGGATTTTCCAGAATCTCCAACTCAAGAGTCAATGGCAACACTTCCTGTTTCACCATTTCTACAATGCTTTCTGTGGTTGGTAATTTTTCACTAATTCCATTCATTTCATTAATTAGGTTAGTACTAGAAATCAGTGGAATATCATTAGTTGCTACGGTACAGGTTTTCTTACATATATCATCCTTAATTTCTACTGATGGTGAGTGGTCTGATGTTGCTGTGCAAGATGTGGTGCTGGGTAGAGGAATTGTATCTTCTTTCAAGGAAGAGAGTTCACATCTGTCATCTACAGGACTAGTGAATATGAGTTGGCTACTGAGAGTAGCAGAGTCAGGGGAAGCAACTGAACTTCGACCATCTGGAGAAACAGTGGGAGGTGATGGAGGCAGAGGAATCTCTAATGTGGACTCTACTGTAGCGGTCTCAGGTGTCTTTCCTGCTTGTTCATTCTTCTCTCCACTAAGGACTAGCCTAAGGACTGGAGAAGTAGTCTTTAACACTGGATCTCGTTTGGTTTTCTCTTCTAGAGAAGTAAAAAAACAAGAGTTTTAAGAATCATTCTTGAATCAGAGATTACACTATATTGCCTTAGCTGTCTTTTACCTTTTTTATCTTTATCTTTTGGACTAAATCACTGACAAAATAGGAAACAATAAACTACTTATTCTGTATTCCAAAAACACAGGTTATATTTGTTTTCTGGTTTTATCCACTATTATTTAGCGCCCATTATATATCAATCTTATTTTAGAGTAAGAATCACTTCTTTACAAGATTATGTCAAGAGTATAATGGAGGGCTGGGAAGGTGGCTCAGTGGTAGAGCGCTTGCCTTGCATGCCTGAGGCCCTGGGTTCGATTCCTCAGCACCACATAAGCAAAAAGAGCGCTAGCCTTGAGCTAAAGAGCTGAGGGACAGCACCCAGGCCCAGAGTTCAGGCCCCATGATCAGACCCCCCAAAAAAAAAAAAGAAATAAAATTAGTGCTTACAAAAAACCAAATAAAAGCAGTTCTAGGACTAATAAAATTTGTATATACAATCTTAAAAAAAAAAAAAACAATTCTCCATTAAGAAAATTAGAAGCTGGGTGCCTGTGGCTCACACCTATAATCCTAGCTGCTCAGGAGGCTGAAATCTGAGGATCATAGCTCAAAGCCAGCCTAGGAAAGTCCATGAGACTTATCTCCAATTAACCACCAGAAAACTGGAAGTAGCGCTATGGCTCAAATGGTAGAACACTCTCCTTGCGCTGAAGAGCTGAGGGATAGAGCCCAGGACAAGTTCAAGCCCCACTACCACCACCACCCCCAAAAATGAAAGAGGGGGGGGGAGGGAAGAGAGGAAGAGATGGGGAAGGGGAGAGGGGGAGGGAGAGGGAGGGGGGAGGGAGAGGAAAGGAGGAAAATTAGAGCCATGTGCTGGTGGTTCACACCTATGCTAACTATTCAGGAGTCTAGGATCTGAGGATTGAGATTTTGAGATCTCTCTCTCTCTCTCTCTCTCTATGTCTCTGTCTCTCTCTTTCTTCTGGTCCTGGGTCCTGAACTCTGGACCTCAGCTGTCCCTCTGTCCCTCAGCTCTTGAGGGACTCGAACCACAGTGCCACTTCCAGCTTTAATGCTTATGTGGTACTGAGGAATTGAACCCAGGGCCTCATGCATGAAAGGCAAGCACTCTACCACTGTGCCACCTTTCCAACCTGATTCTTCTCTCTTAATTACCAAAAAGCCAGAAGTGAAGGCATGGATCAAGTGGTAGTGTGTTAGACTTGAGTTAAAACACCAAGTGACAGCTGAAAGTCCTCAGTTTAAGCTCCAAGACTGAATGACAAATAAATTAGCTAAATAAAAATAAAACAAAGCTTATTTTGGGAGTGCCTCACTCTAAAATAATCATCTAAACCATTCTTTAAAAGTAATAGACCTAGATTAAGAAATTTTAATCCCTCTAAATAGATTTTCACTATTAAGAGTTTGGCCATCTTTGAGAAGGAATTCCATCTTTACAATTCTTTCCTACAGATGCAATCATTTAAAAATGTGCAGTAAGTCTACAACATGGAAATGACACTACAAGAGGGAGATAAACTAAAATGTTCAACAAGTAAATAAATAATGGCCTGGGCATATAATATTCTATAGTATTTAAAATAGGTTTTTAAGATGATTTAGTTAAAAAGTTGGTAATAATAAAAGCATGTGAGCTAGGCTGCCTGTAATTCTAGCTACTCAGGAGATTGAAATTTGAAGATTGTGGTTCAAAGCCAGCCTGGGTAGGGAAATCCTTGAGACTCATATCCTATTACTACCAGAAAACTGGATGTGGCACTGTGGCTTAAAGTGGTAGAGCACTAGGGCTGGGAATGTGGCTTAGTGCTAAGAGTGCTTGCCTAGCATGCATGAAGCCCTGGGTTCAATTCCTCACTGACACATAAAGAAAAAAGGCTGGGGGCTGGGAATATGGCTTAGTGGTAGAATGCTTGCCTAGCATGCATGAAGCCCTGGGTTCAATTCCTCACTGACACATAAAGAAAAAAGGCTGGGGGCTGGGAATATGGCTTAGTGGTAGAATGCTTGCCTAGCATGCATGAAGCCCTGGGTTTGATTCCTCAGTACCACATAAACTGAAAAAACGGAAGTGGTGCTGTGGCTCACGTGGTAGAGAACTAGCCTTGAGCAAAAGAAGCTCAAGGAGAGTGTCCAGGCCCTGAGTTCAAGCCCCAGGACTGGCAAAAAAAAAAAAAAAAGGTAGTAGATCACTAGCCTTGAGCTGAAGAGCTCAGGAACAGCACCCCAGTCCCTGAGAGTTCAAGCCTCACAACAGACCGAAAACAAATAAAAATCATATGACTTTTTTAAAGGAGGAAACAAAAGTGTGTATAGAGCTTAAGCACAATTTGGTAACTTTAAGAAATTATCCAAAACTGGGGATGGGAAGGTGGCTCAGTGGTAGAGCGCATGCCTTGCATGCCAGAGGCCCTGGGTTCGATTCCTCAGCACCACATAAGCAAAAAGAAAAAAGCCAGAAGTGGCGCTGTGATTCAAGTGGTAGAGCGCTAGCCTTGAGTTGAAGAGCTGAGGGACAGTGCTCAGGCCCAGAGTTCAGGCCCCATGACCGGACCCCCCCAAAAAAGAAAGAAATTATCCAAAACTAATATATGTATATTAGTTTATTAGGGAAGAGTAATGAAAGATTCTGATTATTCATAGTTTCTGCAATAAGTGTGTCAAATTTATAACAAGGATAAAACTGTTCCCTCTTTTTGTGGAAGTGCTGAGTTCAAATTGAGGGCCTTGTGTTAGCAAGAATACTACAATTTGAGCTATGGCTTTATTTCCAAGGCTAGCCTCACCAATGAGCCTTTAAATCTGTGTTCACCATAAACTTGGGATTACAGAAGTATTCTACCCCACCTGGCTTGTTTGCTGAGGCATGGGGAGTGGGGGGCAGTTATCAAGGTTTTCCTTGAACCACAATCCTCTAAATCTCAGTTTCTCAAGGAGCTGAATTAGTCAGGTGTCATCATACCCAGCCCCTAAAACTGTTCCATTTTATTCTCATATTGTGGTAGAACTAATGGCCTAGATGTGCTTCTGATTACCACCAGTCTCTCAACTGCCAAGAGATACTATTTTAACTCAGTAGGCAAAGAACAGGCCAAGTATACTGCAATCTCACTTGGCAAAGGGTATTCTGTCCTAAATGCCAACAGAGACCACCTAGAGCAATGTTTCTCTGAATGAGTAAGTTTCATGATAATTCAGTTCATTACCACACCAGGTATAGTCAGCAAGCACAATGAGTAATAAGACTTAAAGAGATGTATGGGTTATTGATCTTTATATCAATTAGCCATACATGCCCTGGATTGAAAAGATAAATAATTACACCATTTATTAAGCACTTCCTAGACTAAATGTGTAATTCTTACATCCATCACTTGGATTAAACTACACCTTCCTATTTTACAGAAAAGGAAAATGAGGCCTTTAGAAAATATCCATAGGGCCAAGTCACACAACTAACAAATGCTCAGAATGAGAATAGTGCCAAAGTCCACACTGGTCCAATTTGTTGTAGGAAGCGAAGACTTACTAATATCTTAAGTATTTAGGTGAACCAAGCAGGAAGGACATTTTGGAGCTAAGATGAAATTGTTACCTAGTACAAATCTGTACTGACTCTTTTTCACTGGGAGAAAAAAAAACTGCTACAGGGTTAAAAAAAAAAAAAAGCAATCTTTGCACACAATAAATTTTTCTATCTGTAATTTTAAAAAGAAAATAGTATTATCTCCAAAAACTGGTATGCCCTTCCCTTCCTTCCTGACTGCCTACTGGCCCCCTATCCAGCCTTCTCTTTTGGCGTATATCCTGGGGCTTGAACTCAGGGTCTGGGTGCTGGCCTAGAGGTTTTTTGCTCAAGACTAGTGCTCAACTTCTGGAGCTATAGCTCAACTTCCAACTTTTTGGTAGTTAATTGGAGATAAAGAGTCTCAAGGAGCAGGGCACAGATGGCTCATGCCTGTAATCCTAGCTACTCTGGAGGTGGAGATCTGAGGATCACAGTTTGAAGCCAGCCTGGGCAGGAACATCTGTGAGACTCTTATCTCCAATATACGCTAAAAAGCTAGAAGTGGTACTGTGGCTTGACCACAAAGAGGCTCAGGGACAGCACCAAAACCCACAGTTCAAGCCCCAGGAACAGTTTAAAAAAAAAGAAGTCTACTGGTTTAAAAAAAAAAAAAAAGCTACTGGTAAAATAAGAAATTAGCTGCTGTGTTTCTGGTAAGCAGAAGATGACAGTAGTCCCTTGTAAGTTCAATGAAATGTACTTAAAAAAAATACTACTTTTAAATTTCAGGGTAATAAGAGAAGTTGATTTTGTTATTCAAATTTCCTCTAAGCCAAAAGAAAGCATGGAAAAACTATATAGAATTAAAGCATTTTTTATTTCTCCTTCTGGAAATCTAGGCCTAAACATGACAAATTTGAGGGATATTATAGTCTAGAAATTTTGGTATTCTTTTTCACAGAATATCTGCAAAAGTAATAGTACCATATATGATGCTACCAGACAAGACAGAATCAGAGTTTGTAATAAATTTTTTAAATAGCATAGTTATAGAGGAAACTGTAAATAAAATGATTTAGCTGGGGGCTTGTAATCCAGCTGTTCAGGAGGCTGAAGTCTAAGGATCACAGTTCAAAGTTAGCCCAGGCAAAAAACTTCGTGAGACTCTTCTCTGGAGGTAGAGCTGTGGCTCTAGAGGTAAGTGCTAAGCCTTGATCAAAGAAAACTCTAGGAGCACATGGTGGGGAGAGAGAGAGAGAGAGAGACAGAGACAGAGACAGAAAGAGAGAAAGAGAAAGAAAGAGAGAGCGAAAGAGAAAGAAAGAGAGAAAGAGAGAAAGAGAGAAAGGAAAGAAAGAAAGAAAGAAAGAAAGAAAGAAAGAAAGAAAGAAAGAAAGAAAGAAAGAAAGAAAGAAAGAAAGAAAGAAAGAAAGGAAGAAAGAAAGAAAAGAAATTTTAAAGTCTTGTAGTATAGGAAATACTAAATAAGCTTAGCATATAAGCGCATACCTTATCATAACTACTTTGTATAGAAGGCATTATGGTTTTTGCAGAAGAGTTAAGAAGTTTTAAGGAAAAGACTAATAATTACTAAAATATATCCTAAATTTTGGCTTACAACTTCTTCATCACCAGATATGGGGGCCCATACCCATTCTAGCACTTGGGAGGCAAAAGACAAAAAGATTCTAAGTTGGCCGCCACTGTTGGCTACAAAGTAAAACACTATCTCAAAAAGCAACAACAGAAACACAGGTTTTATTGTGGTGGTGATGGGAAAGGAATGGCCTTCTCTAAAAGCTGTGAGAAGCACTTCTGCACTGAGAATGGCTTTAGTATTGAAAAGTTTAACTTTCCGCGCACACGCGAGCGAGCGTGTGCGTGTTGGTGCGCATGTGCGCGTGTGTGTGTGTGTGTGTGTCCCCATCCTCCCTTAACTAAAGCATTTAACTAAAATAAGTATTTGGCAGTGCAATTTTGTTGGTGGTGGTGGTGGTTGTGGATCCTGAACTCTGGGGCTTGAACTCTGAGCCTGGAAGCTGTCCCTAAGCTCTTCAGCTCAGTGGTAGAGTGCTCTACCACTTGAGCCACAGTGCCACTTCCTTGGCAGTGCAATTTTAAGTATGCCAAGTTCTTTTCTTTTAAGACTTTCCTATATAGCAAACAATATAGGACTTGCCTTTGTTCAAGTACTTTTTTTTTTTACTAGCTTAATATACAATGGGGAAAACTTTTCTATTTGTGTGTGTGTGTGTGTGTGTGTGTGTGTGTGTGTGTGTGTGTGTGGTACCATGGGGGCTGAACTCTGGGCCTGGGCGCTGTCCATCAGCTATTCAGCTCAAGGCTAGCACCCTACCACTTGAGCTACAGTGCCACTTCCTGCTTTCTTCTGCTTAAGCAGGCCAACCCAGGGCCTTATGCATGCAAGGCAAGCACTCTACCACTGAGCCAACTTCCCAGCCCCAACTTTTCTATTTTCAAAATACTTTATTTAAACAAACAAACAAAGCATTGAAGCCATATGTCACAGTTGATCTTTCAGAAAGCTTAGTATGATTAATTGGCAGCTTAACCAAAAACCCCACCTCTACTTTATGGGCCATTTCTTTAACAAATTAATTTGTAGAAAGTACATTTACTAATAGCCAACTAAAGAAGAGTAAGAGGTATGGAGGAATGAATCGTTCAAGAAGGTAGGTAAATTGAATTCTGTCTCTCTCTTTAAAATCCAGGCACTGGAAGGCAGTTCACAGTCACTGGCTTCTCTCTCTGCCTGCTGAAAATTATTTCCCAGCTGAAGTGAAAGTGAAGCTAAAACCCAACTGCACCAGAAAGACTATATAATCTCACTTTCCCTTAAAGTGATATTTTTTTAATTAAAAAAGTAATTTTTTCAGGGCTTTCTGCTCACTAGACAGGTGTTCTACTGCTTGAGTCACACCCCCAAACCTTAAATATTTTTATTTATATTCCAGAAGGCATATATTTGTCTACAAATGCAAGATATCTTATGTTCAAGGTCAACAGGAATAAAACAATTTGCTGAGTGTGTCCTCACAACAGCTTCAGCTTTTCTGTTCTGTGGCACAATGGAGGCCCTGGGAACCACAAGGGAAGTGACTACAACTCCTTGAAGCCCCATCTGAATGCAATGTTCTCTCTCCAACCACTTACAGAAGCCCAATCTCGTAAAAATATTCTCTTTTGTAAAGGAAGCCACATACACAAGACATATTTTGAATTACATAAATCTGTGTTATTCTAGAAAGGTCTTATTTATAATAACCCACATGAACACAAGTTTAAAAAAGTAACAGATTAGGGCAAATTTACCTATATATAGACATTGACAGGAAAGTATTAATGAGATGTAGGAAAATATTTTATAATCATTCCTACTTTAGTTTTCTAAAAATACTTTTTTATGCTTAATGTAGAAGGCTCAGGGAAATATAATCAGTAAAAGACACCAAAGGTAAGAGGGAGGAAAACAGTCATACACAAACCTTGCTTCTGGTCGCTAGGTGCAGTAACAGGGGTGCTGGCAGCAAGATGAGCGCTCTCCACAGTCCCATAAACCACAGGGCTGTGCTCAGGGACCTGGCTGGGCAGCTGCTGGGAGTTGAAGTACAAAAAAGGGTGATAATGAGCGTGCGAACATAAAATCTAGCAACATGGAACCCAAGAGGGGCGGAGGGGAGGCAAAGGGGCAGAAGGTCACAAAAAGTAAGAGGAGGAAAGCAAGGATAAAAATATAGGCCAATATAACAAATTGGAGGAATACATGGGAAACAAGAGTAGAGACAGGAAGAGGTTGCAGGAAAGGAGGAAGAAGAGAGATTACCATTAACCACACAAGAAAGACAAAAAGTGTTACTTCACTCTGTGGTTCCTTCTAAGGATAAGTGGGCTTTACATCAACAATAGATGTCTTGTTTGAGAGGATCTTAATGAACTTCTAAAGAACCAACCAGGAAAGCAGGACAACAGGAATGTGAAAGATTTAAAAACCAGTTACTGATTCATGAAAGCATCGAAATGTCTTGACTACTATTAATATCCTTATAATTACATAGATTAATTGCTTTCCATAAATTATTTAAATATAGTTTCAACTTAATTATCTTTAGTACAGTATTTTTCCAAAATCAAGAATCCAAGTAAAGTATCTGGCTCTTTACCTGAACACCTAACAGAATCAAAGCAAGTAGGTTAAGAAAATCAAAATCACTGCACAACTTGAAACAGAATTACACAGAAAAAGACCAAAATAGTCATTCCATATCATCAGGTGTTCCTTTGGGTTTCAGAGTTACAAAAAAGCAACAAAACAAAGCTGTGTGTCTACTTGATCTAAGTTCAGCTGTTAGTAGCTGAATTTATGATCTTGCTAGCAGAGCTCCCAGCACAATTCTTTATTTGTGTGTATTGTGTGTGCAGGTATGCAAGAGCAGGAAGGTAAAAGAAATTAGGATGTGGGTAAATTTAGGCAGGCAGGTCATATAAAATAGAAATTTAGCAATAAATACATTTAAGATGTCATGGCTCACAGTTTTTAGCATCAGAAACTCAGTAGGCAGAGATCAATATGAAGATCACGGTTTGATAAAAAGTCATGAAACCCCATCTCGACAAACAAACTAGATATGAAGGTACACATATGCAATTCCAGCTACCTGGGAAATTTAGGGAGATGCATCAGAGTCCAAGGATGGCTCTGAAAAATAATTTATTTAGGGGAAGGGGAGGGGTGTTCGCTGAGTTGAAACATCACAACCACCAAAATAAAGAAATAAAAATTCAAATACATCTTCAAATCAGTAGTTGCACTTGAAATTCTTGAAGTGGGAATATAGGTTAAAGGAACATACATCATTCATGATGACAAATATTATTTGAGTTAATAATGCTTTTCAGAGTGTTCACTGTACAATTTATATTACTATACATTTGTAAAATAGACAAGGGAAAATGCTATTTCACCTATTCATTAGACCATGAGAGTGCTCATAGTCTACAATTTTACTTCTAAAGAAAGATTTTTTTCTTTTATTTTGAATCATGAAAAATTAAAATTAGGATGGCTTCATAGCTGAAAATGAAAATAGACTATTCAATTCTACTGGCTGAAAACAGCTTTACAAATACTGCATGTTATATAGTATTTAGTAAACAGCCAACATTTCCTAAGGGGCAAAAATCATAAATTGTATAGTCAACCTGAAGCAAAGAAAATACTCCACTTGTCTGAGAAAATAACAATACAAATATGTATCAGCAAAATGATATCTATGGAAAAGATAAGTTTAAGACAGTAAAAATTTAAATAGATTGAAGGACTTATCAGTCTAAACTATTTCACATCATATAAAAGAGACAATTGCCCTTTTTGCCTCTGATTTTTTTTTGTTGTTGTTGTTGGTTGTGGGGCTTGAACTTGGCCTGAGCACTGTCCCTCAGCTCTTCAGCTCAAGGCTAGTGCTCTACCACTTGAGCTACAGCATCACTTCCGGTTTTCTGATGGTTTATTGGAGATAAAGAGTTTCACGGAGTTTCCTACCCCAGCTGGCTTTGAACCATGACCCTGAGATCTCAGCCTCTTGAGTAGCTAGGATTACAAGTGTGAGCCACCAGTGCCCAGCTGCTGATATTTATATATCTTTTTGAGACAGAGTCTCTTCCTCTTGAACTTCCTCTTTGTGTGCACATGTTGGTGATGGTGATTTAACCCAAGCCTCAATTATGTAAGGCAAGAACTCTAGTACTAAGCTACACTCCCATCTCTAGCCTTACACAAACATTTTTTAAATTAATAAAACCTTAGGAGGCATTTTTGTTTAAAGGCTCTTAAGAAAGGACTTAGACTTAACACACTACTTAGATAACAGTTCCAAATGCAAGCATACAGTAAAAAGAGTTAAAAAAGGAGTGTTAACTTGGTAACAACTCCTCCCAAATTGCATCAATTGTAACTTAAGATGTGGTAATACCAAATCCCACTCCTCTAAAACTTTTAAAATCAAGGATTCGATTGATGTTTAGCCTTTTTCAACTATAGTGATGGAAGTTTAAAGGACAGCAAGATCAGAGATTTCTGGTTATAATCAAGAAATGAAATTCCATTCTGAACTGTGGTTAATCACTATAACAAGGCTCTATATATTAAAGTGCTGGAGAATGATAGAGAAAGATTACCTTCCTTTGTTTTTTTTTGTTGTTGTTGTTTTGCCAGTAACAGGGATTGAACTCTAGGTCTGGGCACTATCCCTGGGCTTCTTTTTGCTTAAGGCTAATACTCTACCACAAGAACCACTGTGCCACTTCTGGCTTTTTCTGTGATTTACTGGAAAATCTCATGGACTTTTGGGCTGGCTTCAAACCACAATCCTCGGATCTTAGCCTCATACTCAGGATTACAGGCCTGAGCCACCAGCTGATGCGTGTCCCTTCCCCCCCCCCCCATCTCTTTCTCTCTTTTATTTTTTGTTGTTTGGGGTTTTTTTTGGGGGGGGGGCAGTCCTGAGGTTTGAACTTGGGGCCTGGGCACTGTCCTTGAGTTTCTTTTGCTCAAGGCTAGCACTCTATCACTTCAGCCACAAGCAACACTTCCAGCTTTTTCTGTTTACATGGTACTGAGGAATTGAACCCAGGGCTTCATGCATGCTAAGCAAGCACTCTACCACTAAGCCACATTCCTAGCCTCCTGATGTGCTCTCAAAGTGGAGTTCCATGTTATACATACTATTCCAGAATTGAGAGAGATAATGTTTAACGTGAGGTATGATTTTTGATCAGACAAGGAGTCTGAGAAGTCACTGTGAACACAGGTTCATAGAAGATATGAAGGTGCCACAACTCAGACATGAGAACATCATGTATGAAAGTTCTTACACAACCAGCTTGTGGAACAAAGTAAGAGGTAAAAGGAGAAAGGCATGACAGAATAGACAGGGCCTATTAGGCCACACCAAGGAAGGGTTTTAGTCTAATTCCATAGCAATGGAAAACCATTAACAGGTTTTTTTTTTTAATTGTGAAAATATTGTACAGAGAGGTTACAATTACATGGGCAAGATAATGAGTACATTTCTTACCAACAACAGTTTTTAAGCAGCAGTGTAATATAAATCAGATTAACACTTTTAAGAAGTTAATTCTGTTTACTAATGGAGGATGAACTGGAGGAGGCAGAGCATTCAGAAGAATACTATTGAATATTATTGCAAGAATCTATAGGAAGTTATTTTGTGCTAATAGAGATTGGATTTTATTTAAATAGAGGGGGTAAACTGGCAGTGGAAATACATAATGTAACTGAATGGGAAGTTATCAATGAGGGGTAAAAAAGAAACTCATTAATTTTTGCTTGCTAAGATATGTGAAGTCACTGAGATAGAAAGCATGAAAGAGACACAGAGTCCAAGGGGCCAGGGAGAGGAAAAATATAAAACTCAGGCCTAAAGTTTGAAATGCTTGTGATACACATGAGCATAAAAATTAAAGAAAAAGTTAGGCATGCAACCTGTAAGGCTGTCAACCATACATGAAATGACTGATTTTACTTCACAGGTAATAATGTAGAATAGATTATGTAATGTTAAGTAATAAATAGTAACAGTAAGTAACATAATAACAGTAAGTAACACAATAAATTTTAATGCCAGAATCACAGAATATAGGGATTAGTATAGGCATTAACCACATGGTTCAGATATTTAATTCTTTAATTTTCCTGAGTGACTATAGTTACATTTTAAAAAATCTTGAGTAAAATGAACTCAGCATGTCTAAGAAGCCCATTTTAGCTGTGTACTATAATCATTATAAACTGCTCTAAGCTGAGCATCAGTGGCACATGCCTATAATCCTAGCTATTCGGGAGGCTAAGATCTGATTGTCACAGTTCAAAGCCAGACCAGGCAAAAAGCCTGAAGTACGAGCTATGGCTCCAATGCAGAATGCTATTCTTGAGTGAAAAAGTCAAGTAATAGCACTCAAGGCCTAAATTCAAGCCCCAGTACAAGCACCAAAAAAAAAAAACAAAAAAACCCACACCTCTTCAACTATCTATTGTTTGTAGTTCTCAAACAAAACTCTTATTCTCTATATACAAAAGTCTCAGACATTGAGGATAACAATAAATATGTTATCAAAGTCAGTGCTGGGAACAAGGTGCTGAGTAAGACATGGCAATCCTTGTACCCCATAGGGCATTTTATTGTTAAAAAAAAATCAATAAAGCTGGGAATGTGGCTTAGTGCTTGAGCGCTTGCCTAGCATGCATAAAGCCCTAGGTTTGATTCCTCAGTAGCACATCAGCAGAAAAAGCTAGAAATGGTGCTATGGCTCAAGTGGTAGAGTGCTAGCCTGGAGCAAAAGAAGCTTAGGGCTAGGCTCTGGTGGCTCATGCCTGTAATCCTAACTACTCAGGAGGCTGAGATCTGAAGATCGAGGTTCAAAGCCAGCCCAGGCAGGAAACTCCATGAGACTCTTATCTCCAATAAACCACTGGAAAACCAGAAGTGGCACTGTGGCTCAAGCGGCAGAGTTCAAGGACCGTGACCGACAAAAAAAAAAAAGAAGAAGAAGCTTAGGTACAGCACCCAAGCTCTGAG